CCTGAGCACTGTCCCTCAGCTCTTCAGCTCAAGGCTAGTGCTCTACCGCTTGAGCCACAGCACCACTTCCGGCCTTTTCTATTTATGTGGTGCTGAGGAATTGAACTCAGGGTCTCATGCATGCAAGGCAAGCACTCTATCACTGAGCCACCTTCCCAGCTCCAAAAGCTTATTCTTAGACTGAAGGTGTTTAAAGAAAAACATCCATAGAACCTAATTCTGATTTGATAGGCTACAAAAGGAGTTTCTAGATTTGAAAACTGCAGAGGTATTGGTACCACTACTCAGACTTACTAATAGAGAGAGAGAGAAGATTCATTTTGGCGCAAGTTAAAATATGTCCATGGCTATTCAGATGGCATGGTCTTACAAACAGTGGGATACTCAGGTCAAGAGGTCCAGAGGAAAAAGTTTGGAGTGATCAACATTCAATATCACACAGATACAACCAGCCACTGACAGCTACTGGCAGAGAAAGGATCTTGGAGAAGCTGCTCAAAATACTGCCCACCTACCAGCTGTCCGTTTACTCATTATTACTAGACTAGCATAAAATTACTTGCTTTAGAATATCACCAACTATGTCACAAAGTGTAACCCTGGCTGACTTTTCTCTTTTAATCTTAAAGATGAATCTTAAAAGATTAAAGATTAGAAGCAGTGCACTGATGAACATACCAATGTACACTCTTGCTTGTCCTAGGCCAACTCTGTGAGTGTAACTGGTAGAAAACACCAAGTGTTTGGGTTAATGACATGGAGGGAATATCATGAAGCAGGAGACAAGGAAGTCAAGATGATCTAATGTGTTCATGGTTTAAAAGAGGGCAGGGTCAATACAACCACCGAGACGTCAGAGAGGATGGAGAACTCAAAAATCTTTCATAGATTTTCTCATTATGCAGTCACCAGTAACCTTGTAGAATTTCCTTCGTACTTACTTTGTATCTTCTCAATCCTATTCTCGATACTATTGCCATGTGTATCAAGTACTTCTTTCACTGCAAATCTGAAGCGCTCTTGGGTTCAATGTTTGTTTTGCCTTTCTCTTGTCTGATCTGAACTTATTCAATTACTATCCTTCTTGATGTACATCTTCCTTTATAATGTGCCAACCTTTGTTTTCTCCTCACGCCTAACTTATCTTTTTCTGTCCAATTCCTCTATGCACACTGCATTTCTTTAAATATATTCATTCTTATAAATGATGTCAGTTTTATATCGATACCTGCTTTGCTGTTCTCTCATGCTTCAGAGAAGTCTAGGCGTCTACTGGACATTTTTATTTAGATGCCAGGAAACTCTACAAATTTAGTATATACAGTGCAAAACTCCTAATTCTCATGTGCAATTCTTTCTTCCTAAATTTCTTATTTAGTATTTCAATCTACCTAATTAATTTCCAAAGCACTTGTCTCCCTTCTTCCTTCTCTACTTAGTTATTGCTTTTACCTTCTGATGACACTGCAAACCTCTCACAGCAATCACTGCTTTAACCTATCACCTATGTCTAGATCACTACCATCCTTCACATGGTCTCCGAATTATCCTGCTGCTCAACTTCTTTTCTTAGTTGGGATTATCTCCATTCTCTTGTCACACTGAAGCTGGAGTCCTCATGTCCTTGTTGAAGCCTTATCTTTCTGGCTTCCTTGTTTTGCTCTTTAGCAGATGAGAACCAGATTGAAGTTTTTTTTTAAATTTTTATTGTTTGATTGTTGTTTTTTACAGTTCATAACCGTAAGATACTTTCTCTGTACCTTTGCGTACACATGCCCCTGACTAGAACACATTTAAATCTATAGTCTATTTTTACTGTTAAGTTTGTCCATCATCTTCAAGAAGCTTCTGTAACCCTGTGAACCTGAGTTATGTAGACTTTCTCCAAGGTCTTCTAACATTCTACTATCCTCACGTTACAGACATTTCCTTTGTTTTGAAAGTTTTCTTTTTCTCTATGATTCAATATCTTCCTCTGAGTTTTATGCTCTAAGAAGATAGATATTATATCTGTTTGATACATTAATATATTCCAGGCTCTTAGTACTTGTGCCTAGAATAGTTGGAACATAGCATCTAGTCAGTGCTCAAGTAAAATGAATGCCCCTCAACATATTTTCACATCCATTATCTCAGTGGGAGAGAAGCTGAACAATTTGGAGAAGGTTTTAAGGAAACATGAGCTGCTAGTGGATTAGAAGATTAAATTATTAGAGTTGTTTTGCCCTAGTAGGAGGAAGAAGTTAGAATCAGGAAAGCTGGTTAAGAGAGTTAAAAGTATTCAATCCCATCCCAAGGAACAAAAAGGAAAAACACAAAAACAAGCTTTTGTATCATTTTAAATTTTCTAACCAATAGAAGTCTGTAAGTAATAAATGTGTGTATATATTAAGATTCAAAGGTGTCAGATTGTCCATCTTTTAGACATTCTTTCTTCCACCTGGAAAAACTTTAGATAATATGATTTAAAAATTTGCCTACTTCGTTCAGTGAATTTATTTTCTTTGAGAGAAACCTACAGAACTGAAATTTTGGTTTAATTATAGCTTTTCTATCCATTTCCCCAAATGAGGTGAATATATGTTTTAAAAGTTTATTTTGTATTTTAAAGAAGGGATAAAGTAAGTACCAAAAATAAAGAAATGAGTAATTAGTAAGAGGAAATCTAAACCAAGAAGACCTAGGTAAAATAAAGTACTTTGAGAACAAAATTAAACTATGCAGAAATAAGGCAGAAATCATACTGTTACTAGATACTTTGTTTGGTGTATTTTAGCTCTTGTCAAATAGGAACTTGTAAAAGCTGGGGAGCTCACATTCAAGGTAGATTTTATAATAAAGTACGTAAAGCACACGCTGAATCTGATGTTAACTCTGCCAGCTATGAAATGAATGCTTTGCCATGGAATATATTATCGTGTGTTCTGTCTCCAATGGGGCTCCTTAGATTCCACACCAAGATGTACATTACAGGATATCATTAAAAGAAAGACTAGACTGATGGTCTACCATTGAGCCATGCTTCTGCCCCTGAGTACAATTACTACATACTAAAATTTTAAAACAAAATAGAGGATAGGAAAGTCAGGCTATGGAGGTTACTAAAAGAAAGAGGGGAATGCTAACAAAGAAGGCAGCTGAGGATGGATGTAGTCAAAATACTTTACATATGAAAACAGGACAATGGAACCTTTGACATTGTTTTAGCAAGCCAGGAGAGAAATTAGGGAAAGTGATAGAGGGAGAAAGTTTGATGGGGACACATTTATGTATACATGGAGCTGGCACCATGCTATCCCCCTTGTACAATGAGTACATGGTAATTAAAAAAGGAAGGCTAAATCTTTCTGCAAAAATACAACTGTGAATCCACTTCACTACTCAAAATGTATTTATTTGGAGCCCCCAAGTCTCTGTAAAATATGGAGGAGACATGCTTGGTTTGTTCAAGAGAGAAAGCCTTCCTCTCCTACCACTGCAACCAAAGGATATTAATGAAGATTTAGAGAATAGTTAATTTTGACCAGTCAGCATCATATTCTAACAGTTCTGTGAGATGTACTGGCTCAAAACTACATCCCAAGGTACCAATACATTAACTTCCTGACTAGAGTTGCTTTGGACTCTTGGGCCATAATTGAATGATACGGTTGTAGCTCGTTTATGGTGGTTTCAATGTATCAGAATCACATAGTTTATATGAGGAATTTGCTAGGTTGATTGAGATAGAAAAACACATAATTGTCTCATCTATAAGTGGTGGGAATCTATTTAGTTGTCAAGATTAAATGGGAGGATAGAGCTATTTCATGTGATTTAGAAATGGAATTTATTCTGTAGAGATCTATTCCTATCTACTCTGACTCAGCGCTTTGAAAAAGCATTTAAACTTGGAAGTAATGCTGAGACCGCGCTGTCTGACACATGCACAGCGTTGGTGGTAGACTCTTGGCTGAATGTAATAATAAATTAATAAAGGCTACTAGGCCTTCAGTTGCTTGCCATAATTTTGTGGTGGAATAACAGTCAAGAACACCAGAGTGAAAACAATCATTCATGTTAGATTGAGAAATTCCCACCTTTATCTAGTAAAGAAATCTGACAGACGGTCTTTGGGGAAAAGCCAGCACACTGGACATCTGGAACTTAGGGAGGTGGCTGATTATCTGATGTAAGTACCGGATAGACTAAGAAAAACCTGCCTAAGAGGTGAGCATGAATGGTTTTTTTGTTCGTTCTGGACACAGGATAAGAATCTCCTTCAGCTACACAGAACTGCTCAGCTCTTCCTTCCAGCCATTTGGGAGTTGTTCTTTATTTTGTGGTTTCTATGTAATTATTTCAGTGGTTTCTCTGAGGTAGCCAGATGGGTAATTATAAGGTGCTGCCTAGTTTGAGATGTTTGGTTCAAAGAGACTAAGACACAAGAGAAGCCTGTGATAGTACTTACTGTGCTAGGTGTGGGTGTTCTCCATATATCTGCTCTCGCTTCCTTATTGTTAGTAAAATGTGGCAGAAAGCAGAGATTTTAGATTTTTCAAAGAAAAAAAAATCTGTTTGATGACCCAATTTTTCCTGCCTCAGAACTGGTAACCTTTTTTTTCCCATCTCTCTCCATGAACTAGAATCATTTTGATAGCTGGAAAGGACAAGCTGGGGTAAATGTTGGAACCTCTCAGGATGGCCAAGTACTATTTGTAGAAAGAGAAAAATGGTTTGGGGAATTGGGATTGGGGCAGCACTGTCTAATCACAGGAAAATCTAGGTTAGATAGTACAACCTGCTTTTTGTTTCCTCCAATTAAATATCAAAGGTTTCTAAACAAATCAGGAATCAGGTACCTCATATATTATGTTCCAATGCCAATAAAAGAGAATGTAGAATGTAAGCAGAATGGAATGTGCTTTACTCTTCAAACTTCCTCCTGAATTAAAAGAAGGTTGATCTTGGCACTATAGCCTGTGAACTTTAAGATGAAAGTCCTTCCTATGTTCTTACAGAGTACAGTACAATCCACAGCCCATCAACACCCATTAAAGATTCAGATTCTGATCGATTACGTCGAGGTTCAGATGGGAAATCACGTGGACGAGGCAGAAGAAACAATAATCCTTCACCTCCTCCAGATTCTGATCTTGAGGTATGTCATCATCCATATATAGGTAAAGAACAAAATATCATTTATGGTTTTATAGAACTGTTATGTGAACAGCAATGGCTATTACCCAAAAGCTTTTGGTTACTGCTTTCTTTTTTATACTAATATTTGGTAGAACAATTTTTCTTTTTTTCACATTAGTGAAAATATGCAGTCATTTTGTTGCTGTCATAATTGGTTTTGGTCTTGTTTTGTTTTGGTAGTGCTGGGGGGGGGGTAGGTAGATGCTAGCATCTTGTTTATGGTAGGAGGGCTCTAACATGCAGCTACATGCTCAGCTCTGTGAAATTCTTTGTTTTCTTTCATATTGACTATAAAATTTATAAAATTCTTTATAAAAGAATTTTATATGTAATGTAATTCATTCAGAATTTTATGTAATTCAGGCTGAACAAAATTCTGTCGTACTGTTTTGTACCATTGCCATTTCAATTAAGTCAGTGCCACGCTGAAAATGCTTAATAAAATTCACTTTGAAACTGAAGACCCACTTGTGTATATTGAGAAAGTAAAACCTGGAATGTTCTACACTAAATGGTAATCAGTTCCTCAGACATGTTTTGGTGAAGTTCAAAGCTGGAGGGATTAAGTAAGAACTGAAAGGGTGGCACATTTCACAATCTTCCCATCCACTGCAATTAGGTTTCTGCTCTTTTGCCAAAGTGAAATCTGATGGTGGAAAACATGATGATTTTGGCCAAAACGATGAACATTTTTCCAGCAGCATTTATGTACACAAATATGTACTGGTGTGAGTGGGAATGGGAAGAAAGACAAGCAGTCTTGGGAGGCTTTCTCTTGTGTCTTAAGATGTTTTTTTAAATAAATTCTTCCAAATACTACTTAAAATTCATTACACTGAAGACCGAAGTACACTTAAGTCTTCCCTCAGTAATCGTCCTTTAGTGTCCACAGGAGAACCTTACTAGAACCTCCACTGAAGATACTAACATCCATGGCTGCTCAGGTCCCTTGTATATGCGATAGGATTTACAAATACAGTCTTTCTTTAAATCACTACTACACTGCTTCTACAACCTCTCTAGAGTACTCTGCATACCAAATACTCATATAATGTAAAGGTAATATAAGTCGTTATTGTCCTGTATTGTTTAAGGAATGATAACAAGGAAAGCTAAGCCTGCATATGTTCCAGACACATATAATATTCAAGTATTTTTCTGTCCTTGAAAAGAATAGATAACAAGGTCTAACTCTGTAGCTCATCCCTTTTATAACTACCTAATGGTTAACTTACAGTGAATAGATTAAGCAAAGTTTTAATTTCTGCATACAAATTTTAATATTTAGCTTGATAAGAATAAAACATAACATTAGTTATTATATCACTTGTTAATGAATGAAGGACTGAGAAAAGGTCAACACAGTGACTTTTAATTAACTTCTCTTTGCTTTCTCAAGTTATAAAAAGATGATAATTCACTTTGTACTTTCTTAGAACTGATACAGATTTTATTCACAGGCAAGAAGACATATTATTTATTTTCTATATTTACATTGATGTTAGTATACTTATCCTCAAGTACCTCATTTGAGGTTATATGTAAAAACAACAACAACAAGATTGGGAGATACTCTTTGAAATAGTTTTGTTTAAGAAAAGGATGAATTAGCTAGGCCTTGGTGGCTCATATCTATAATCCTAGCTACTCAGGTTGAGATCTGAAGATCGCAGTTCAAAGCCAGCCCAGAAAGAAAAGCCTCTGTGAGACTTTTATCTCTAACTAACCACTCAAAAATTAGAAGTGGAGCTGTGGCTCAAAGTGGTAGATCCATAGTCTTGAGCAGAAGAGTTCAGGGACAGCACCAGGTCCTGAGTTTAAGCCAATGACAACAATAAATAAACAAATAAACAAATAAAGCCAATGACAGACAGGAAAGAAAGAAAGAATAACGAAAGAAAAGAAGAAAATGGTAAATTGATATTTTTCATCTATCTCAATTTCAAGACTACTTTGTCAATTTGAAGCAAATTGAATAACAGTTTTCTCAATGAAGCAAAGATACATTGATATGATTCTTCCTTTGTAGAGAGTGTTCATCTGGGACTTGGATGAGACAATCATCGTTTTCCATTCCTTGCTGACAGGATCCTATGCCAACAGATATGGGAGGGTAAGTTCTGACTGGCGTCAATTTTGCATTTCTTTGCAGTAAATAGGCCTAGAATGAATACAAATGTCCAGATGAATACAATTTTAATTTAAGTAATGCATTTTAAATTATAAAATGAGAAACAATTTATTGATACAGTTCAAATGTATAGAATAAGCAAAACATATAAGTGAACAGAAAAGAGATGACTTTTTTAGTCTTAAAAGTAAAATATGCTTTATATGATTGAGTATATGTTTATTTCCAACGCTAATGTGTCAGAAATAATATTCACTACAGTGAATGTTATTTACTTTATAAAATAACAATCACTAAAGTGACTGAATGCTTTTTAAAATATAGAGGTGAGATCTTTTGCTGCTGAATGCTTTAGATGCCTGACTTTTATTCCCAAATGGGACAGTTATTTAATTGATTATTGCCTTTAGTGATTAACAGTGGTGGTATTTTACTTTGAGAATACCTGTGGTGATGTTTTTATATGCTTCTTTACTGTTGAGGCTAAATTTATTTGAATGGTATATGATATTGAGCCCCTGGATGACTATGAATAATACATTCATATGAGAGTTTATTAAAATATTTACCTCAGTGTTGCAGCTAAACAATAAAATCAGAGATCACAGAAGGAAAAAAAAAGATGTCATTTTCATTTTCAGGTTCTGGTACTGTAGTTATGTGTGGAGAATAGATGACAGGTGAAGAAAACTGGGTATCCAGATAGGTAACATGAGGGGTTCTATGAATCACTGGCAACAGAGATGGAGAGAAATGGCTTGGGTTCTGGATTATACTGCAGGTATTGGCTTTTGAAGTGATTTTAGTTGGAGCAGTAGGTGTGATAGAGAAGAATGGCAGGTGATTTCTACATTGTGCCTGAGCAACTGAAAGAATAGTCATGTGTTTGTTCAGATGGGAAGAAAAGCTGATATGGATGGAAAATAGGAAGTATGGAGTTAGACACAACTGAGATGCCTGTTAGGTACCAGGTCCAGGCAAGGAGGCAACTGGCAGAAGAGCCCAAGGCACCCATAAGGTCTGCAGATTTAGAGTCAACAATGCACGATGTGGGGCTAAAACCTCCTAGTCTCTTGTTTTATTTCTTCTAACACTCACTGAGAGCCTTCTTTGTATAAAACACTGTTGTCTCACTGCCTGAAGCATTCCTTGCTGCCCGAGTGGCTTTGAAGGATACATTGCCGAGATATCCAGTCAGCCAAAAGCACTGGAGAAAGCTTACTTAATGCTGTACTCCTCAGGGAGCATTTAGGGTTGAGAAGAATTTGTTCTCAACTCATGATAATCAAGACATGTAAAAGTGTGAGCCTCAACCAAGATTACTCCAAACAATAATAATCACCAGGCTGATGAGAGTGGTTTGTATCCCTTTTGTTCCTCTTACATTCTGCAGGCAGCTTAGTGTCAATCTGCTTTCTTCTTTGGAGTGCAGATTTAGTTATGTTCCTGTCCATTGTTGGTGAAGTATGAGGCTAGGCCTTTCTCCACATGCATATAAAGAAATGAATGCCTGACAATGTGGTAGCTGTTCTGTCTCTATGGGAACCAGATACTTGAGAAGTAGCTTAGTCACAGTAGCTTAGACAGTTCAATGAGTGAGCCATTCAGAGAGGGGACACAGGATCCGGTTGATATAATGCAAAATTAGGGCATGTTACAGCAATATGTACTAAAAAAAAAAGGTTTGAGAATATCCCACCTTTTGTGTAACCCTAGCTGTGGGAAGAAGGCATGTTGGGTATTATAAGGAAGTGTTGCTTTATAACAAAGGTGATGGGAACAAAAAGAGAGTGCTGGTGCACAGTACAACCTTGGCTAAGAAAGGGGAAAACAACAGTGTTGTAGCTGGAAATGAAGTCTATGGATATTATTTTAAGTAAAGATGCTGTTAGTAATATCTGTCCTAGCTGTTTTTGCTTTATATATTTATTTTCAAACTAAATCCAAATTACTGAATTTCCTGAAAGAAAACTAGTCCTTTAAAAAAAATAGTTCTCCATTGAATGGAGAAATAGACGATCTAAACCAATTGTTAATATCAAAGCACACACATCTACCTTGTATTTAGCTAAGTATGATGCTGATGAGTCAGGTTCACTGGAAGCCTTCCTAGGGTTCCCACACCCAATGGCTCCATTGTTTACCTGCTCTCTTATTGTTTAGCATCTGTGTCTCATAGGAATTTGGGTTAGAATGGATCTTAATGGTATTGAGCCTCACTCCTCATTTTATGAAAAATAAAATCTGAATACTACACTAACATTTAGGAAAAAAAGATGGCATAAAAATCTTAGCCTGTTTCCTTGTACACCTATTAAAAACATTCTCAATATCCAGCACTCATTTAATGCAACATTAATACTGTAAAATTGCTATGTCCAAGGCTATTTTATAGAGGAGAAGTTGTGAGAGGTTAGAAATCAAATGAATAAAATATTTCGGACTCTGACATAAATTTATATTCAATAAATACTAGATGTATTTGAATATAGGTGAGACAACTAAAAGCAATAAAAACAAAAACAAAAAACAAAAAACCCACCAATGTGTACCAGTGGCTCATACTTATAATTTAGCTATTTGGGTGCCCAGGCAGGAAAATTCATGAGATTCTAATCTGCAATTAGCCAGCAAAAAGCTGGAAGTGGGCTGGGCACTGGTAGCTCTTGCCTAAAATCCTAGCTACTCAGGAGGCTGAGATCTAAGGATCTAATTATTTCCAATTAACTACTAAAAGAGCCAGAAGTGAAGCCGTTACTCAAGTGGTAGAGTGCTAGCCTTGAGGGGAAAAAGAGGTCAGGGATAGCACCTAGGCCCTGAGTTCAAGCCCCAGGAACAGCAGATACACACATGAGTGCTTGTGTGCACACATGTACACACACACTCACCCTGGAAGGTGGGCCTGTGGCTTATGTGGTAGTACACCAACCTTGAGGGAAAAAGCTAAGTGACAGTGTCCAAGCACTGAGTTTAAGCCCCAAGACCGGGTAGGTGTAGGTGCACCCACACCTCAAATATTGGCATGGTATTAAGTAATATGATAGTTTCTTCAAATTTCTCACTATGGAATGATGGAAAAGAGGTGATGACTGAGTTTAAACATATCTAACATACAGTCTCATCTCCATTTTCAGCTGTTTAGGCAAATTATTTATTCTTATTGAACCTAGATTTTCTCATCTGTTAAGCCATCTCATCTTCTTGACTTACAGGATTAAATTGCATCATGAGTTTGAAAGTACACTATCTTCCTAATGACAACAACCCATAGCTAGAAAAACATGTCAATTGTTGAACTTGTAATGGCTCTTTGAGTATTTGTTTTATAACACACAGAATCTCAATTCTCCCAGTGAGTTTTGGTCCTCTTAACCCATTTTAGAAAATGTGATCTTGAGGAGGTTAAAAATTTGGAGAGCAGTTTATCTAGTCTGTGTCATCAGAACACTTCCATTAGGTGGTAAAACTTTTTTGGGGAGCTGGGGGGACACCACTGAAATTCAGGACCTTTAAAAAGATGTACCATCAGCATAGTACAGAGCTAAGGATCCCAGTGTCTTCCCTGGGTTGCAGAGGAATTGGTTCCTTTGTTAATGCAATTGCCCTATTGGACCATTAATACCAGGGTTTTCAAACTTTCTGTAAAGGGTTATGAGATAGATATTTCAGACACTGTTGGCCATATGCTGAATATGAGTGTTCAGCTTTGCCCTGGGAAGAGCTAAAGCAGCTATGGCTGGTATATAAACAAATAAATGTGCCATGTTCAAATAAAACTTGATGGATAGCCCTCAAATTTGAATTTTATGTGATTTCCATGTCTTAGGAAATGCTGTTTTTCTGTTTCTTCTTAAAAATCTAAACTATGGATTGATAGACCACACTGTATAGGCCAACTATGGCTCACGGCCTGATTTTGAGGTAATGATGTTGTTTGACTTGTAAAAGCTTATTTTCAAAAGGAATAGCACCAAGAAGAATGTGTGTCAGAGATTCTGTATAGCTGGCAAAAATGTGAATATTTACTATCAATTTCTGAAGAGAAAGGTGAGCCCTGATTCAGCACAGACTCTGACAATATCACTGTGGTGACCCCAGACACCATGTAGGCATCACCTGAAGCCATATGAGATCCCAAGGAAGCTCAGGCCAGCACATATCTTTATCAGGGAAAATAAAAATGGCTAAACACGCAGGCTTAAAAAGTAAGGGTACAAACACAATGCAAGTGTGTTTCTTTCTGATTTGACAGTATAGAGTAGAATATTCCAGGTTGCTTAGCTTGGAAAGATTTAGAGGTGCAGATAATTGTCACAATAACTTTAGCATGAGGGTTTTGAGGTTTCCGGGATTGTTGTCATCAGTAATCAGCCCACAGAAAGAAAAGGCAAGGGACCACATGAATGGGAGCTTTGTGGACCAGGCTAAGGAGTGCATATCTCACTCTGTCCATGACATTGGACTTGACCTTCTAGCCCAGCACCAGGGAGGCTGAGCAATGTGGTATCTGTGTGCACATGAATAAACTGAGAATGGATGTTCATGAATGGACAGCATCACAACTGTTGTCCTCAAGTTCATTAATGAGTGAACCTCAAATCTCACTTTCAAATCCTCTGGGACTCTGGCTATCCTTACAGAGCAGAGTCTAAGCCTGTAGCTGGGAGCCTCCAAGATCATAAGAAATCAGTGCAATCTCAAAGGAGGATATCCTGTTTTGTTTATCTTCATATATCCATACTTGAATTAGATGAAAATGACAACATATCATTTTATATATAACGATCCCTGATGAACAGGAGTCATCCTAGCTCCCAACGACATGCTGTCTTGCCATGTCCAACCAGCCCCTTACCCTAGAGCCTTAGGAAAGCACCTTCACTTCTGCTGTCTTAACCTTCCCACCTCAGAATAGAAGTAATGGTGGCACTGTTAGGAGAAGAGTGTGAAAAATCTAAAAGAGTGTGAAAAATCTTGAGGAC